GACGCACAAGAAGCGTAGTCACGGTTTATGTGTTTCTGTTAGACGAACGAGAATAAAATCTCATGTTTAGGCAAGATTGGTGAAGTAGTGAGACCATAACTAAATCGTTATTCGTGATTCACCAAATCAGATTAGCGTACAAGTAAGTCAGACATGACTATATGCTGGAAAAGAACTATATTAAGAGCTGAAATTATGCTCAACTACATGATGAAGGGGACTCGTGTTTGACCGGTATAATTGCTAAGCCTAATAACTTGCAACGAAGAGTATGAATCTTTGCCATGCCTCTTTCCTACAATAAAATTTATAATTAATCGTTAGAAGTTACCATACTTAATGAGGGCCTGGTTGCCTTTGATTGTATGCAGATGAAGTTTCAAGGACCGGACTTCCATTCAGTTAAAAATCAGCACTTCTATTTACGAAATATCTAACGAAAAAGTTATTCCTCTGATATCTGGAGAATATGATTCTCTGAGTGCTATGGGATAGGAAACTTGATCATAACCATATTAAGCTTTCTTTTATTATCAATGTGAGTGGCTCTAGGGTATGCCTTATACTACAATCCATAGTAGCTATTATGTTTATGTGTTTCTTTTCTTTATTTTTTATGTTTTCCCGTTCAACAGCGGGGGGTTATTGGATAAACGGCAACTAAGAATCTTGATAGAGAACTTTTGGATGCAATGCAGTAAGATTGCCATTCAAAATTTCTATGATGTATGTGTGCCTGCTTTAAGGTTTCAAATCCTTACTAGCTATGGTCCTTGGACAAATCTTAAATCTTCCATACCAAAAACTGCTGAGATGCAGCAATTAGTCACAGGCTTTCACTGCTTTCTCATATACCTTGCTGTTATGGGATTATATATATATATATAAACCAAAATTATCACTTAAGTAATTACTTGTGAATTATTTGGCTTAACAATTTGAATTTCAGGAAGAAAATTATATGAATAGAGCGACGAAAGCTGGCGATGAGCTGATGGAGAGACAGAAGCTACAGCTAATGCAACTCATCAGCCTTCTCAAGAAGATCGAAGCGCTCGTCAATTCAAGCCAAAAGAACATCTTTCAGAACCTTTCAGACCATCGGGTTTTCATGAAAAAATTCTTCCTCAAAGCTTTTACATACATTTCTGCCATTCATCAGTCGGGGCAGAGCAAAGACCTTTGCCAAATGATGCTGAAAATCCTTAAAGCCACGTTCGATCAAGTGGGAGTTGCCCTCGGATCAGTTGAGGTTGGTGTAGATGATTTGATCTGTGAATTGGCGGAGAAAATGTGTAACCCTATGGTTGAGTATGTGAACGGTCTTAAGGTTGAAATGAAAACTGGAACATGCTCGAGCTTATTGGAAGTTGTTAAAGAGATGAATGGGGCAATGAAGGTGAGGGACTTCGAGTTGGAGGAAGCAAGAAAGCAGGCAAGGTTAGCAGAACAAAGTAGGATTGATGCTTTGAGCAAGTTAAAGAAATCGGAAGAAGCAGCTCAGAAATTGACGCTATCACTTGGATTGCTGATCGGAGATGCCCCTGAATCGGAGGAAAACTTGACCGAAAAGAAGGTATCTATTTTTCTTATCATCCATTTTTTGTGGTAATTTATCTGGAGCAAAATCTTAGTGCACTGTCTACTTTATTTTAATATTTCAAACCAACAATAACTAACAGAAGCTCTTAGTCTAAAAATAATCAAGTAAAAGAAAAACAGGTGAAGAATAATGAACTAAAATATTGTCATTCCCAGTAAAACTATCTTTTTAGGTTCATTTGCATGTAAGCAGGCCTTTGTTCTTAGAGAACCCGAATCGAGGACTTCTTAAATCTACACCGTATGTCTATAGTTTTTCATCTTTCATACTTTGATTTCTGATTCTCTTGTTTTATTTTTTTAATTTTTAGCCTTTGAGCATAAAGGAAGATCAGGCGAAAGATGACAACTTGTTATGGGAACTATTGAGGAAGAAAAGGAAATGCCAAGTACCAGACAGTCCTCTTGGTCCTAAGGAGCTTCTAGGCATAGAAACATGTAACAAAAGGCTTAATTCGACAAGGGGAATTCCGTCTTTCAGCCAAAGGCCCGTTACACGCTCCAGGTCAAAAAAGCCCGATTTGTTCGTCAATTCCAGGATGCTCTTATGCTCTTCCCCTTCGGCAACAACTCAAAAAGTTTTATGTGGTAAGCGCATAACTCCTTAGACGAATTCAAGACTCTGAAATTTATTCAATGTGGTGTTTTATGTCGCCTCGTTTGTTCATAACAAGGAATCGAGCTTCATTTTCGATTAGCTTATTCTGTAAATCTCCTCTCATTGCTTATATTCCTAAGATCATATTGACTTCAATATTATTGATTGGCACACTAAGATTACTCAGTTCCTAAGGTTTCTTGACAAGCAGTCTTATGTTTATCTTCAGTCGACGAAGCGTAAGTATTTTCACAAATCATCGAAAAAGCAAAATCTCACTGGTTGATTATGAACACGACACCTAACACTTGATCGTAGGGGGGTAATCATCGGGAGATATCCAATGTGTTACCTATTGTGTTATTATGTTGTGAGTCGGACGAACATGTATTTCTTCGAACAATGTGAAACTAGTGTTCAATAACCCCCCACGTTTCCGTTCAACTCTGTAGCTCAAGAAACTCCCAATCTATCCAACTTGAGTGATCCCATAATATTCCATGTTTAATTAAAAAGAAGGGTAAATTACACACACCCCCCTGAGGTAAGCTTAAATAACTGTAAGGTCCCTATGGTATCGATAATTACACTCAACCCCCTGAAACGTAGTCAGAAACTCTAATGGGATAATGAATTGGATACGTTATTCCGATAGGGTTCTAACGGACTATTGGTTTCAGAAAGTGGTGGAGACAACAAAGAGCTATGGGTGATTTAAGAAATGTTCGGGAATGTTCGGGGAGCCATGTCACCCCATAACTCTTTGTTGTCTTCACCACTTTCTGAAACCAATAGTCCGTTAGAACCCTATCGGAATAACGTATCCAATTCATTATCCCATTAGAGTTTCTGACTACGTTTCAGGGGGCTAAGTGTAATTATCGATACCACAGGGACCTTACAGTTATTTAAGCTTACCTCAGGGGGTGCGTGTAATTTACCCTAAAAAGAATTATAACAACCAATTTTTCAATTGGGCTGCAGCAAAATGGCAAAATCATATGAATCTAAAAGTTGTGCAATATATTTGTGCACTTATATTCAACTTAACAATAAGTCATATTTTTTGGAGTAAATTACAACCACCTCCTAGGTATTGTCAAATTACGAAAACCCCCCTCTTGTTTGAATAATTACATCTACCCCTCCACTATGAATCTTCTTACACCTCCACCCTTATGGTGTCAAATTCAACATAATCATCTAGATTTCATGGAATGTGCTCTACTTTGTATTTGTTTTGTGTAAAAATACAGTTTTTGATGTACCACAATCTGATATATACAAGCTAAAAAACACATCTTATGATCATTTTACAAAATGTGGAGCTCGGATGGGATAAAACGGATACATATTCCATATAATCAAGAAAATTCCACTAAATTTGAAACCACAAAGGTGGACTTGTAAGAAAATTTATAGTTGAGGGGGTTTTCGTAATTTTACTATACTTCAGGGGTGGTTGTAATGTACCCTATTTTTTTATACAAGTTAAAAAAGTAGGGTTTTTTTGCAAAAACCACCCCTGTATAATCTCGAATTGCCGAAAAAACACCCGTGTTAAAAAAATTAGCACATAACCCCCTGTGAAAATTAGTCAAAGCCAAAAAGGACCCTCCGAGCTCAATGTGTGATACACTCGCGGTTTGTGCGACTGGGAGTTTGATTTTTGACCTAAAAAGACCAAAATACTCCTAACTCATCATTTTCGAAAATTACAAATTTATCCCGTATTTTTCACATGCCTGAAATGAAGTTTTTAGAATTTTCGATTCAGTCCCTAATAATTTCAAAAAAGCCCTCTCTCCAAATTGAATAGGACCAAATTGCAATTTTCATAATTTCTTAAAACCTAATCAGCTTCCTCTCCCTCTCCTACTTCAGATCTTGCTCATTTGCTAAAAAAGAAAGGGGACAAAAAATTCCAGCCCCCCACCCTCTCTCCAGAATTCCAGCCCGTTCGCAAAAGAAGGAAAAACAAAAAAAAAAATGCTTTCTCCATCGAAACCCAGCGGAAAACAAAGGCACTTCACATTGAAGAATTGACAGATGAGAATTGGAAGAATTGCCCGTCCCTTCTCCGTTTCTCTAATGGTGGATTTGAATTAAAAACGTTTTGAAGTAATTGTTTGAAGTGGGGCGACGGGTGTGTTGGCAGTGGTGGTGCGGCGGTGGAGGGTTGGGGGAGCAAGATGATGCCATGAGTTGACTGGGCCTGTGCGTGATAATTTTTTGTTCTTCTTTCTTTCTTTTTTTTCATTTTTTTTAATTATTTTATTTTATGCATTTTATTTATTTAAAATTGAAATATTATTAAACATTATCAGGGTTAGTTTAGTATTTTCATATAACTTAGGGGGGTATTTGCTAATTTTTATAACACAAGGACTTTTTTGGCTATTCAAGATTACACAGGGGGTTATGTGCAATTAGCTCTAAAAAAGTATATGAAATTATTTATAGACAAATGGGAAGAGTTGATGTGAAGTGGAAAGCATTTTCCCCAACACTTGAAAAAAAAAAAAAAAAGTTATCTAGAGAAAGTAAAATTGGTTTATTGCATTCAACATTTCTATATTTATCCTAATTGTAAAAAACTACTCGTATTTTATTAGCAAAATAATCCTTATAATTAATTTTTTTTTTTACAAACTGCACCTAAAGATTTATAAGGTTCGTTCTGTTATCGCTAGGGGTGTGAACGAGCCGAGCTCGAGCCGAGCTCGCCTCTTTTGGCTGGCTCGAGCTCGAGCTCGAGTTTATTTTGTCGAGCTCGAGCTCGAGCTCGAGCTCGTTGAGTTCTTCTTTTTCTGGCTCGAGCTCGAGCTCGTGTTAATTTTGTCGAGCTCGAGCTCGAGCTCGAGCTCGAGCCCAATCCTTTTTTTTTTTTTTTTTTTCTTTTTTTAAATATTATTTTATTATTATTTTATTATTAAAAAATATTTTAAAAAATTACAAAATAAACACAAAATTGTGATTATATATTTTTTTAATATTTGTATTTATTTCTATAATATTTTATATTATTATACATTTTTAAATAAAAATAACATATAAAAAATAAAAAAAAATAAAAAAAATAAAAAAAATAAAAAAATATTAATAAATCCGGCTCGCGAGCCGGCTCGCGAGCTGATGAACAACTAAAATCGGGCTCGAGCTCGGCTCGTCAGAAAGCTCGAGCTCGCGAGCTCGAGCTCGAGCTCGAAAACCTCGAGTCCGAGTTCGAGCTTTTTACGAGCCGGTTCGTCGAGCTCACGAGCCGGCTCGGCTCGTTTACCACCCCTAGTTATCGCTATAAGGTTCTACCGTCTAGATAGTAGGGGCTAATAACATATTTGGGTGGCAAGATTCACATTTTTCCAAACCCTCTACTAAAATTAAAGTCCGCTATTAAATATTATTATTTCATTAAACTAATAGCACCCCTCCCCGAGATTAATTTAAGGTGACTAAACAAGTAAATAATTATTTTATCCTTCAAATGACATGATAATTTTGATTAATAAAAATATTTTATAGACAAATCATATATAATAATATAATTTAACAGATTCAATACAAAATCGAATTCGATGAACCAAACGCCTTACTAACTAACTAATTAATTAGTCGGTAAAAAAATAATTGAATTACATTTAATCCAAACTAACTCGATATAGGTGGTGTTTGCAAATGATTATTTCAAAGCAGAAGTTCGTGATTGTGCGTTAAGTCAGTTTTAAGTGTTTATTTCTAAAAGTTGGAGGTGTTTGCAATTATTCCGAAAATAAACTTAAATAAAAAAAAACAAGGTTAGGGGTGCTTTTAAAAAAATAGCTTAAATCAGATTATTTTTATAGAAGCAAAAGAAAAAATTAAATTTACAAATACCTGAAAACAGATTATGAGCAAAAAAAGCTCATAATCACTTTCAAAAAACTTTTGCAAACACCACAATAATCTAAACTAATCCAACATAGATACTGAATGAGCCCTTAGGAGACTTGAGGTATGTTAAAAAAAAATGTATTAAAATGAATTTGCTACATTTAAGAATAAATTAAAATCAAAATAAAACCTTCTTTCATTCATTGACCACCTAAGGATAAAAAAGAACTTTCGAGAATGATAAATTAATTGAGTAGGCTATAAGTAAGTAACAGCCTGAATATAAAATTATAATATTCGGAAAAATAAGAAATTATCGGCTGTAATATTTTACCCAATTTCAAAGAGGAAGTCGCTCATCTTCGTCTTTCGCGAGGAAAAATAAAAAATCCCCCTTTTTCTTCCGCCGGGCATACGAACCCTAATTTCGGAACATTATTTTTTTTTTCTATATAATTTCTGTAAGTTGGGTTCTAATTTTCTTGTATATTATCTGGAGATATATATATTTATTCTAAATTTGAGATTATCGATCATTTATGATACTATTTGATGTTTAATTTTTCTCTGGCTGCTTTAGGTAGGGGGGAAACGGAAAATAGAATAGGGTTAATTAATTATGGAAGTGGATATTCAATTATTTGAATTTTCGTGATTTATGTGAAAGGTTCGTGGATTAATCCTGTTCCGTATATTTTTTCGAATTTTTTTTTAATTTCCAGTATTTGTTCCTGTGCACATGTTGCAGCAGGGAGTTTCGTCGAAAGGTTTCGTTTTTCTTGTTTATATGTATTACTTTTGGGGGATTAGGTTCATGAGTTGTTTAATTAGTGTGAATTATGACTTAATAGCTGGAAAATTAATGTCGTTTCTCGAACATTGAGGATGTATTATGGTATGCAAGAAATGATGTTATTGTGTAAACTTAGAAATTACAAGAAGGGGTTACATGAGGTTGCATCCGTTTACTTTTTGATAGAGCGTTGAGGTCATTTTGAAATATGTATGTAGTTGAAGGTCTTCGTACGAAAAATATATTTCCAATATTTGATGGCCATATTCGCGACACTGTTGAGTTTAAAGATTTCGTTTTTTCATATTAACCAATCATTACATAGTTGCAAGTTGGATCATGCGAAATCTTACGTATTGCTCCTCTTTTTGTTGCAGGTTCTTTGGATTTGGATTTCAGATATCAACTAACGACACTATCTTGCCTCTCTAGCTATGGTATGCTGCCAGTCCTGGTCTAATGTTTGTATAATTAATTAGATTATTTTTGGCTAGTGTCTTAGAATGTCGTAAGATCTTTTTTTTGTTTTTATTAAATGAAAATTGTTATGTACTTGACTTGAGGACACACACGGTCGCACCCTACCCAACCATTTTTTTACTGAGGTAAATTGGGGAAATTTCAAAAGGGCCCATGTCGAACTTACTTGACTGATTGAATTTACGAATTTGGTTCGTTTGATGATCCACGTCCTCTTTGTTTTTCATTGTCTACTACCTTCTATCTGTTCTTTCCCTTAGGATTCTTTGGACGTGTTACTAGGAAAGTCTCGTGTTTCTATGATATTTTCTAAGAACATTTCTTTTCATCTTTGGCAAGTCTATTCATTGTCTCAATCTCCAGTGAAATAACTTCTATTTGCTTTGATCTGCTTGTTCAGTTATTCATTATAACACAGTACATGAAAGAAATCATCTCCACATACACGAGATGTATAGACTTTTAATAAACCTTATTCTTGCAGGCTGCAAAGATCCTTGCTAATTTAATTATTATGGGTTCTGGAATAATGGTAAGAGCGCTTGCTCAAGCCTACCGTCAAGCTCTCGCAAGTAAGTTCTCCTCAGAATTTTGATTTAATTTTGTAGCATTTAAGAATGGTAATATAGGCTACGCTTGTTCAAGTGGCGGTTGTCGATTATTCCTTGCTCTTCTTAGTGCATTGATTTGAGTAGTTTTGGGGTTAAGGGTGAGATATATTTTGGTATGCAGATATCAAAGTATTTGAAATTATCACTATGGCATTAGTGTCGCGGATCAGAAATTATAGTCCTCGTAGGCCTCGTTTGAGAATGAGGATAGAACTTGATTGACAATATAATCAAGATTTGTCAAATGTTCCGGTTTAGGGTTTAGGTTTTAATCCCATGATTAAAAAAATAGCCAAGATTATCAATCCCGTCAACATTCTCATCAAACGATGCCTTACTTTTCTGTGCCACTTTCTTCCCTGTGAGAGAGAGTTAAGTTGAACTCGAAACATTCGTAAAGTCAGTTGATGTTCATGTGTCGTCCTCCTCACAATTGTTTCACGGTATAATGCAGATGCCTCAAAGAACGGCGTTGCTCAAGAAGCAGTACAAAACATTAAAAGAGGTGGTAAAGTGATGTCTGAGTCAGAGGCGAGACAAATCCTCGGTGTCACCGATAATTCAACCTGGGACGAGATTTTGCAGGTGTGTTTTCTATACATATATATATACACACACACACAATGAAGTTTTTTCACTTATCGGTTTTGTCAATGTAAATGCATTTTCATCAACTTGAGGTTTTTTTTTTCTAGAGGTACGATAATTTGTTTGAGCGAAATGCCAAGAGTGGGAGTTTTTATCTCCAGTCGAAGGTTCATAGAGCCAAGGAATGTTTGGAAACAATTCATCAACCAAAAGAAAAGGAGCAAAGTGCGGATTGAAAGACTACTTTTTTTTTTCTTTGTTTTCATCTCGGTTCTCATGTACCGGTTTTGCCTTAACTTCAGTTTGATACGAATAATTTCGTCGTTTGGGTGATGGTCTTGTATTAGTATAAATTAAAAGTTTATTATTGCAGTGTATGTTACATTACAACTTGTTTTGCTGCTGCTTGTAACCATTTTTCTGCCTGTGCTCTAGCTTTTAGTGCTTTACCAGCGAAAATTATTTTTGAATAGAAATTTCGGGAATGCCCTTCGAGATTTTTGTAATTTTGTTTAATTTTGGTCTTTTAGTTCGGTCAACGGAGAGTTTAAATTTGTTGACATTGCTGATTAGTCGCCACTGGATTTTAAGTTGATCTATTGTTGCACCCATTGTAGTCAAAATTGGGATTCAAGTAAAGTTCGAAAAGGATGTAAACAACTAAATGCAGTAGGAATTTACGTATTCCTTATAAATTCGAATAGCATGCCAAAATGTGAATAAACGACTAGTAGTTTCTAGCATAAATTGTTTTTAAAATATGATAAAAAAAATATTTAATATAAAAAGGAAGTGTGTAAAATATTGTTTGTTGATTTCTAATTGCAAAATGCTTCTTCCTCAAGAAGATATCAGAGATGTCGATAGACCAAAATGTAACAACCGTACCGGAAAAAATTAAAATGGAACTTTACGCTACAGTTTTACTGAACAGGAATAATTTCTTTTCAATCAGTTTCCAAAGAAAACGAAGCGTGACCTTTCAATAGGCACAAAAAATAACCAGAGAGAATATTCTGTATGTACATTTGTAGATTCGATTAAGCATTTGGACGGATACCTCTAGCTCGAACGTATGTCAAGAATTGGGACGGTAGCTCTGCTAGAAGCGATTGAACAACAGAGACCTCTCCATCTGCAAAAATCGATGATCGATGCTATTAACATTTTTAGATTGCTGATATTTAATATAAAGGGATTTATTTTTCTTAATGGAATTGGATCTTACTCTGTACATCCCGAAAAGGGACAAACTGGACTATATCGCGTGATGCAACCCGTCCAGATGAACTTTCGAGTCTTTCCCCTTTATCTGCATCTAAAATCTGACGAAAGAATGGAAAAAAATATTGCATAAAACTGGGAAACGGGCGTTATTGATCAGAAGATATTAATTACTGAGGTTAAAAGAGGAAATTAATTTCGACAAAAGTAGGAAGCATACTAGGAAGAAAAGAAAGAAAAGCAAATACCTCCATTTCTTTAAAGTCAGCACCTCCAACTCCAACAATAAGAATGGATAATGGCAGATCAGATGCCATAACAAAGGCATCCTTTGTTTCCTGGAGGTCCGTTATCACTCCATCCTAATACGAGTTTAGAATATAGAAATTTGAAATATGAAATCAGATGATTATGACTAATGATTCTAATACTTGCAGAAGAGAGGGGATATTAACAAGAATACAAGAGAATATCGAGAACCTTGTTACTGAAAACTATAAGTTGAAACATATTTTTTGTGTCTACAGTATATTACCGTGATAATCAGTAAAACAAAATACTTTCTTTCGTTTCTCGCAACAGATGCACTAGCTATTTGTGCAGCATTTGTAACTATGTGCCCAAATAACGTGGGTCCTGCTAATGAAACATTGTGAAGAGCACTTGTATATGCCGTCATAATTCCATGGATTCCTTCGACCTGGAAGAAAATAGGGATTCTTAATAGAGAGAAAATGGAAGTATTGCAAAGATATATATATATATGCTTAGAGAAATATGTTGATGGGAGTTAGGGTTTCACCTCACAGTAGTTACTGCTGCCATTTAAGTTGAAGCAATGTGATACTGGACCGTCGATTGGGCGCGCTCCAAAACCCCAAGCAGGGAACTTTTTGTCATAATCGTAGAACTGCAGCACTCCACCAACGTCTAAAATTGCCTAAATTTAGAGAGATTAAATTAGTTTTTGTCCTTTCTCTCATATCCATCATGGACTTTAGAATGTTTGTTAAGGAGTATGCCTCACTCTCTGATATGCATTTGGCCGTCCTGATGGATCAATGTAGTGCAGTGAGTCGGGTAGGCGGGAATTACCATTTGAAGCTGATAACATGTACCAAAAATTAGTGAAAACCTATTCAAACTCTCCGATGAAAGAAATCTAGGACGTTATACACACACACACACACACACACACACACACACACACACACACACACACACACACACACACATATATATATATATATATATATATATATATATATATATATATAATTGAAACAATCGACTTGTTCATAAAGTGAAAAATTTAGGAGCCTCGATTATGATCTGATAACCAGCCAAAGGACAAGTCAATTCTAGAAAGTTAAGTATTGTTGAAAGCTAGTGAAGTTCAGTATCAAAATGCACTGAAATCCAGTCATGAAAAGTTAAACAAATTTAGAATTAGCTCAAAGCCAAAGAAAATGCATGTTAAGCTTGCAAAATAGTATACCCGTAAAATCAATCGCCACCATGAAATTCAGCTCATATCCTCCAGCCAAGTAATCAAGGAATGTATGCTGGATGTTCTCTGAATATTTGTCCACAAACAACTGACTCTTTAAGACCTACATGACAACAAAGATACAAATAGAAAGCAAAGGATTAGTATTCTTATACAAGATTCATCTTGAATAACAAGTTCTTTTACCTTGTTTTGGTGATTTTGCCCGACTGACAATGGGACAAACATATTCTCTCCCGTTGCAACAGAATGCAGCTTTTCTAATCCAGCCAATGATTTTTGAACTTTTCTGAACAATTAGAGTAGAGAACAGGCAAATCAGAATCTTTAGAAACAAAAATCAGTTAGCAGAATTGACCAAAGTAGACAGTTGCTTACCCCAGTAAATCATGTTTTCCGTTGCTATTGAAGTTAAAACACTCGACAGTTAGTGGGCTGTCCTGCAATAGTTAGAACCTTATTAAATTAAAACCCCATTGAATTGCCCAAAAAGGAAAACAAGAATCTCCGGATCCAATAAATGTACACGATTAGTTAACTGCAATTATAATGTATTCATTTGACACTGCAAAGCAAATACAGAGTCCATAGCAGAGTGTATATACAGTGGCATAAACTGATGGCAAACAAGATTATTTGTTGAATTGCAGTATCATAGTAACTCAAATTTCTAGCACCAAATATATGTACCTTGCTTCCTACTTGCTGAATGCTCAAGGAAACTTGTTTCCATTTTGGACTGTGGTCGTTTTTCAGGACTTCAGTTTTACAAATTGGAACTAATATTCCACTCTCTGTGATTTTTGATATTATCAGAAAAGGATCCTGCGAAAATCAAACAGCAAAAAACATTTTGGTCAGCTTTTCCAACTTCAAATAGAATCGGCAAACAACGCAAAATCAAGGGAAAAGTAATTCCTTACGCTCTTTGAGAATAAATCTTTGCCCTCCAAATCTGAGCATCTCAATATCAACTCTACTGAAGTCTTTGATGCAAAACTTTCTTCAGCATGAACTGTGAGCTGACCACATTTTCGACTATGGGCGGGAACAGAAAATTCTTCATATGTAAGATCTAAGGTTACTATCCTGTTTGTTTTCATGACAATCTACATGAAAGAAATGAGAAAAACACAAATGAAGATACTGTAATTACTGATATGGAAAAGCTCTTAAAAAATGGGCCGAAACAGATACCGAAAGTCCAGAAACCAACTTACAAAATGGCAATTATCCAGCCAGAACAAATTGAATTGCAATGAGCCAGATGTGCGCAAGTAATAATGAAGCATTCAAGTCAAGGGGTTGATATAATTATTCCACTATCACCGTAATTATTGTAACACGAGAATCAGAACAATTTAAACACAGTAGCTTTTCCATAAAATTATAAGCAGATAAACAAGAAGTCTTGAAGGTGCAACACATTGTAGTTTCTGTTTTTCTCGTTGGCTGTACATGTTTAACATAGAAAACAAAGTGAGGATGACACAAAATCATACCTCTGATAATGTACAACTCGCCTCACCAAGAAACTGCTGCTCCTCCAACTTTAATACCTATGCAAGAATAGAACATTTGAAGCAAACCTGTTATTTATAATTTTAGCAGGTGTATATAAAGGAGAGCCGGGCAAACATCGAATGAGCATCTCAACAAACTATACAACACGTGCATTACAAACAACACTCTGTATATGCAGACAACAAATGCAGT